TTTTTTTTCTTCGCCAGTAAAGATTTTTGGATCTCTCCACTGCAACCACTTCTTTATCGTATCTCTTTCCGTAATTATCTAAAACTCTCTACGATGGCGAGATTTTACGATCTCATCTCTTCGGTACAAAACCTTTCGAAGCTTGACACGTACTCAAAATGCTCGGTTACATTTTTAATAACTTGCAAGCCAGCTTGGCTTGGAGCTGGCGGCCGGGTTCATACGGTACGACAAACTCGCTGACGCCCAACTCTCTCTTCTCTCAAATTCCATCTGCAGTTTAGGTGTACGGGTCGACTCGATCGATTTTTCAAGCACATTAATCTCCATAGAATAGCGAGCGAGAATACTCTCACCTATGCCAAGCGCCTACTTGAAGTTTCATCTTTCCTTACGCGCAGAAATTCACGTCGCATCTTCATTATGACGATACTCGTGGACTTTCGTGAGGTTCGTGACCAGAAACCTCGGACCATGTTTCCCTTGTTTCGAAATGTTTCTTCCCTCTTGGTTTCTTCATCATCCAATGAATTCTTATACACATACTCCCATCCTGCTTAACTTTCTCTCAGGCGATGCAATCCTCGACTCCTCTCACTAGTACTATCAAGGATTTTTTCGACCTAACAAATTCCTTAGAGGCTTACAACAGTCAGGTTATGCTTACAAGGTCATGATGGCCTGTTTTCCTTTTTAATTGAAAACTAATAGTAGCAGCATGAACAGAAAATGTCTGCTTGTGGAATTTTACATTAAACAGTTTTATTTTCTTCCGTAAAAGTATATTTTTGAGTCTGAGTTTTGCAATCATTTAATAAGGGGCTGCTACGAGTCAAGCTTTTCTTACAACTAACCTCTCTTAGAGCCCAGAAATCTATATCCTGTATAACCTGCCTTAATTGGTTGATATCATTAACGTGATAATTATGATAATTAATATAAAAAAGTACCGCATGGGTGACTTTTTTCAACTCGAAATCTCTACGTCAGTTTCTTGTACTCGATCATGGATATCAAAACCTTGCTTGACAATCTTCACGATGAAGTATCCTGTTCTGTGTGTAGGACTTCATTTACTGAACCAAAGATTCTGCCATGTTTGCACAAACGTTAACAGGGTATCAGGAACGAGTGGCCGTTATGATGCATTTCTCTGTCCTGAATGCCGAAGAGAAGTTCAAGTCCTCAGCAGTGGAAACCTCAAGGATCTACCATGTGCTGGCCTTCAAAGAATGCCATACTACTGGAACGAAATGTGGAAACTGCGACAAAAGTAGCAGAAACAGTTCGTACTGTTTTCAGTGTTGTGCGTTCTGGTGTGACGAGTGCATCCGTTGCGCATAACTTGATCAAAGCGAATAAAGAGCATTGAATTCTTGCTCTGAAGGATTTTAAAGATCAAGACATCGAGAATGTATTGAAGCGGCCAGCATTTTGCCAACGGAAGCATCACAAAAAAGAAGAACTCAAGTTCTTTAGCAAAACCTGTGATGTTCTCATTTTTAATTCTTGTGCTGCAACCATCCATGATGGTCACGCAAAGATTCTTTTAGAACTGAAGAAGCAGCGAGTGAACGCAAGTTACAAGTCAAGTCTTTGATCGAGTCGCAAAAGGAGAAAACTGAACAGAAGAAGAAGGAAATCGTCGCAATTGAAAGACTTTGTAACCATACTGAAGTGCGAGCCGATGCAGTGAAACGAGATATCCACAATTTTACTGAAAACAGTGATCGCAGCCATTGAAGCAAAAACGAAGGAAATGTTAAACAAGGTAGAACTACAACAAAAAGAGTCCCTTGAATGTGTGCGAACTCAACAATGCAAGGTAAAGTGTCAAGTCAAACTGCTGGAAACAGCTGTCGAAAAAACTGAAACAGTATTCAAACATAGTACAAACGCCGAGATTACACAGTTGGATAAGTCACTGAACACGGTCTTACCGGAATCGAAGAAGGCAGCGATGATGGAAAACAAGCCGTATCTGACCTTGAAGGTCTTCGTCAATTCCCTTTCACAGAAAACAAAACATTCTGACAGCATCGGCTCATTTGTAGCCTTTGAGACTGAAACTCTCGCTCATTAGTCAACTGCCGAACGAAAAGGAATCACTGAAGCGATTGTTGGACTTCAATCAAACTTTTTTGCTAACAACATGAAATGCAGAGGGAGAACAATGCCTGACTGTGTAATGGTGGAAATCAAAACTCAGCAAGGCCTTGATCATGACTATGCCACAGAAGTGCGAGTCCAACATAACAAAGATGGTAGCTACAAAATCAGATATTTCCTCAAAGATACAGGAAAATGCCAAATATCCGTGAAAGCAAATGAAGAACACATTGGTGGCAGTCCATTTACTGTTGAGACGAAACCCAGACAGTTTAGACCCTTGTTATCTTTTGGAAAAGGAGGTTCGTCAGTTGGAATGTTTCGCTGTCCATATGGAGTGGCAGTGAATGACCGAGATGAAATTGCAGTGACTGACCCTAATAATCACAGGGTTCAGGTATTCAGTAGTGATGGAACTTACTTAAGATCTTTTGGTAAGGAGGGTGATGAACAGGGCCGAGAGTTTCATTGCCCTGCTGACATAGCACATGATAAGAAGAAGAACATAATTATGGTGGACACCGACAACCACCGCGTTCAATTTTTCAATTATCAAGGTGAGTACCTGAACCAGTTTGGTGGTGAAGGAAATCTTGATCACCAGCTGAGTGGTCCATTTGGTTTATCTGTTGACGGGAATGGAAATATCATTGTTGCCGATAGGGGCAACAAATGTATAAAAACGTTTTCATCCTATGGCCAGTTTTTGTATAAACTTGGTGAAGGTGAAGCTTTTACTGCTCCTTTTCACTGTATTCAATATAACAAACATCTCATAATGTCAGACCTTGACGAACATTGATTGTATCAAAGTATTTGATATAAATGGTGATTTTTTTGTACAAATTTGGAAATAAGGGTGACGGGGATGGGCAGTTCAACTTTCCTCATTTTTTTTTTTTCGGTTAACAAGGCAGGACACCTGAGGGTCTGTGACAAAAACAATCCCAGAGTTCAGGTATTTGAGCTGAGTGGTAAATTTGCAAGAAAGTTCGGAAAAAAAGGGAGAGGGTCTGGAGAGTTTATGTGGCCAAGAGCGATAGCAGTTCATAGTGATGGTAGGTTAGTTTTGGTTGATTGGTTGATCCATCGCATTCAAATATACGGATAAATGTTGATAAATACAACCTCAGTTACAATTAGACTTAAGAGTTATTCTAAAAATAATTGTCAGTTTTTCTGATCTGAAAGTATTTTCCAGACAAGCTTCCAGTTGTAGTCTTAGTTAAAGGAACATTTTAGAACTTTTAATCAGTGGATTCGATTTGGCTCATTGCAGTTATTAGTTCGCACTTAAGGTTTTCTATTGTGGTAATCCTAAAAAATAAATAGAATTTTTTCTAAGGAATTTTCTGTTAATGAATAAAAACACATTTTTAACTTGTAAGAAAGTCCCTGATTAGTAAAACAACTGAACAATAGTGAATTACAAAGAAGTTTTTGTCATTTTAAATCAAATTGGCCAAGATTTCATTTGAAACTTTTTTTTTTTTTGCTCTTACATGAGGTCAATAGACTACACTATCATTTTTCCCTTGTTTCTGCCTTTTTTTTTTTCATTTTTCTAATGGCTTGCCCTTCAGTTTACTTGTTATGACCAAATAATACTGGTGTATGAGTGTAGAGTTATATGAAGCTGCATGGCAAAGTGCAGTTGAGCTGATTACTGTGAGCAAAGTGATTGCCTTATTCCTGCAAATCACGCATGCAGTGTTTGCCGAGAGAAACTGTAACGTCCAAAACGCTGCATCCCAATATCTGGGTTTTTTTTCGGTTTTGATTGGTTTATTTTGTCGTTCATTGTAATCTTAAGATTCTACTTTCTTAGGGAGGGAAAACACCAGAAATCGAAGAAGAATTGTTGTGATAATGCTTTAGATTATAGTTTTTTAGGGAGGGTAAACACTGGAGATTGAAAAGAAATTGTTGTGATAGTGTATTCATTATTGAAACAGAAACATCATTCAATGAACTGAGTTTGGTCGAATGAGGAAAGAAAGATTCTGCCTCAGTGTCCAGTTTTCTAGCTTTAAACGACAGCGTTGAGTAGCTTGTTGAAAAATCTTCGGGAAAGTGGGTCAACTAATGACTAGTTACAAACTAATGTCGTGACAGAAACTAATGCGTCTTCAGAAGAATAGCGAATTTAAAGATTTTGCCTCGTAAAAGACCACAGAGTGCTCCCCTCCCATTCCCTCCCTGTAATTCTTTTATAACACTGCAAGTTAGACAATAAATAACTTAACTTACTTAGTCATAACTTGGGTGGCGTAGGTTAGATGCAACCAATTAAGTTATTAAATAATTTAATTGGTTGCATATAACGAGAAAAACACGAACGTTGCCATGTTCCCACCAATAACGTAGCTCCATTTTCTGCCTTTAAAAGCACATACAACCCACAATTCCTCTATTCGCTCCGACGAAGGGCTAACGCTCGAAACGTCAGCCTTTGTAATCGCTACGGTGGCCAATTTACCTTTTCAACTTTGTTGATATGTCTAAACTCCCTAAGCCTCGCTTAATCGGGACAGGGTTGGAGAGTTCAATAAACCTATTTTTTGTCAGTGAACGAAGCATGACACCTGATGGTCCGTGACTCATACAATGACGGAGTTCAGGTATATGAACTGAGTGGTAAATTTGTAGCAAGGTTTGGAAAAAAAGGGAAAAGGCCAGAAGAGTTGATATGGCCAACATCTACAACCGTGATGGTAGGATACTGATCGTTATAACCATCGCGTTCATATATTTGAGTATATGTGAATAAATTCAGCCTACGGCGTACTTTTAAGAAACTGTTTTCTCCTAATCTTGAAATCATTTCCTAAAGAACATTTTAGAAATTCAAGTCGGTGAATTTAATTTGGTTCATGGTAGTAATTAGTTCGTGCTTTAGGTTTACGATCAACTAACAAAAGTGTTTTTGTTTTCGTGTTGTTTTCCGTATATATAGATGGATGTTATCTTAATTAAATGTCCAATTTATTGACACGTTTTTAAATTTCAGTAAAGCTAGGCCATTAGAAAAATTTCATCAACTTAGACGGACAACTCTTTCATTTTGCTTTTATCTTTTTCTAATGGCTCGTCCTTCAGCTAACTTGTTATAA